TTTTAATCGACCATTATGTGTTTGATAATAAATTTTAGTATTAACTTGAGAAAGTGTGTTGACCGAAATCAGGAAGAGCAATTATGGGAACCCTAGATAATATAACAGATTATATACATCATCAAGTGCTATGTTTAAACAGAGATGAACAAACCTAGAACGGGAGATTATATTTATAAGTATTTCCCCACAACGTATGCATATAACATTATGCTCGCTTATTTTAACAGACAATTTGAAAATATATTAATATGATGACATTTCGTTCTCGATTGGGGCAATTCAATCTAATCCCGAAAAAATGATTTTAAGTACTCTGTAAATTGTCTCGTATATTAAATGACCATTACGATAATTGAATCCACCAATCTAAAATTGGAATTACTTGATGAAATCGATTTTATGTGTAAGGCGATTAATTGAGCAGTCTCAGTTGAAGTGCGCTACCCTATTAAAATCATGCAGTTCCCAATTACCTAAATGCCTCGTTTCGCGTGCGGATGATATATTGGCAAGATACGACTGTACGAAAGTACGGCTTTGATTTTTTGAGTACGAAACTGAGGCAATAAATTGTTATTGATCCAGGTTTGGCGGGGGAAGTGGACTGCGTTTTAGAGTTAATGCATTCCTAAATATCGACATAGGTTCAGATTGAAATCTGACACGTCGGGAGTTTTGATACTTGGTTGCCTAACCTGACACGGATATATATTTTGAAAAAGTTAAGATTAATTTATTATGATATATAGAGTAATATTATTAATATACATGTTTAACAAACGTGTAGCAATTCAAAAGGTTTTGTACAAACTGTCAATTGTAACTAAAGATCTTATTCTAGATCAGTGATATTCATATGCATCTGAACAGTCGCTATGACTACTGATTTTTACATCTAATATTTGACAGCTGTTTTGATTCAGGCATCACGATTATAGTCAACATGTTTTCCAGTGTATTAAAATTAGGTTACATGCCAAACAGTACGTGTAACATACACATGAATTAACAAAACAAAAGACCTATAAGACACGTGTGTAACAGTAAATGCTGATTGTAAAATATCTGTTTATAAACATCTGAACGGTAAACCCTTCTATGTGTCAACAATATGAAATGGGCAAACATATTCGTATTAGTATTAAATGCGTCTTAAAAATAAGCTATAGTAATGAAGATTGTATTGACAATAGAATGTTAGTTAGGGATTAAAACTCATAACTAATTTAATGTGAACTATCTATCTTAGTGTGTATTGGGACACCGCTATAGTAAGTGTCCTGTCCGAACTGCTTTACCAACCGGTGAATTGATTTAGTATAACTTTACAGTTTACTTCCGGTTTTCTTTCAGTAATTGAGTATTTTATTCAGGCGTAGTCTACACATAATTAACTGGTTTTATCCTGCAGGCAGGACATAAGAATTGTAAAAACTCTCCCCGTTGCATGATTGTAGCAGGCTAATAAACCAAGCATTTATTGGAGCTACACAAAATGATAAGTATCAATCACTTTTATTCATGTCTTACCATGTTCATAACAGACTTACTGCTCAAATATGTGACCATTGTTAGAAATGTAGATGCGCAAAAATGTTAATTAACGAATTAACAAAAAAAAAAAAAAAAATTATGTATACCCACCGAAATCAACCTCGATCTGATTCGTAACCTTGACCTTACAGTGAAGTTGACAAATCACATTATTATTATCTTGCACCTGTAAGTTGTATGTCATAAACAATACACTGCTTGTCAACCGGAAGTCAGGTTAGATCACACAGGTGATACATTTTACAACGAGGTCTAGCTTCATTCACAGTTTAACACTGGGTTAAAATGTCGACCAACAATGCCGTCAAAATTAGCTCCGAAGTGTATTACAATTATTAACAATACACATAGCCTATCCTGTTGGTATTTTATAAACGTTTATTTTTATATCTATTCATTGTGATGTGATGAACTAGTCACGGCTTGATGATCAGCATACGGTTCTAAATCTTTAGGGTATAGATCAGGTCTGTTTTCATCCTTCACTTTCATTTTAAATATTTTGATGATGTTTGATGTTTATATAACTGGATATGTAATGATCATATGTATCGTGTGTTTCTACATCAATATGAAGTCAAGATCAGGTGAGACACATCAGCTCCGTGTTACATCTTCCTCGACAAGCTATCTCCACTAAGCTGTTCGTTTTCTATATTTTGAATTTTCCATTTCTAGAAAGTGACCACCCCGTTTCCCTAACACTCAGACGACAAGGTGACGAAAGATGTTGTTTGATGTGGAACTTTTATGGTCGTCATTATGATCTCATTAAGATACGTTTTCCTTGTGCAATTTTAACTAAGATGTGTTTGATTCTCATTTCAATGCCTGTTAATTTCATACTTCTTACAATCTTCGAAATTGCAAGTGGTAGACACTGCTTGTCGACTTTTTGTTGGCGAGGTTTTCCGAAATCTGAATACCAAGTCTTACTTCTTTTGAATGGTGGCACGGTTCGGAATATATAGATATACATGGCATTGTCCTAAAATTAGCTGATATATGAAAATTACAAAATTTATTGATATATGGGGCCAGTACATCTCCCCATCTAAACTTTTCTTCCAACCACTTTCGATTTTTAGTCGCCCTCTTGGCTTCAAAATTTTGGCCCTTAGCATCACTGACGAGTCTTTGGAAAACAAAACTACTGTATGATGCAGTTTACTTCATTGTTGGACTCTGATTATCTAACTCAAGATGTGTATTAAAATGTGCTACTCTTGTGTATCTTTTGTACAGTCTGTCATGATACATTATAAGATTCTCAATCAAATCCGCTTTTCGTTTGTATTTACCTCTATTCGTGGATTCTTTGATTTAACGGTTTGTTAATATGTTGGTTTATTATTAATCTCAAGGGAAAAGGTTTGTCAATTGATTTTAAGTACAATTTTAATTTTTTTTTTAAATCCTTTTAAAGAGTTCAGTGCATGGTCACTAAAATATACCATCAGTTCCAAATATTGATTAAAAATAATTCCGATAACTATATGAAAATACAAACCAGTGAACAGAATCAGAGTCACATATCAAACTCAAATTCAATAAAACTATGGCAAAATACGATCGAAAGAACAATTTACACGAACAATCCTGAAAAAGTAAAAGGAGAGTAAGACAAGATGTTCCGGAAGTGTAAGCGTCTTCCGCTTCTCGTGTGCTTCTGATTTTAGGTTACTATCATATTGAAAAACATGTTGGAATACAGATTATTCAAATTGTAGCATTTTGTCGGTAACGTAATAAACAATTCGAAAATATATTTCCGGAGATGTTATGAGTGAGTTAAAGAATGTCTGTAATGAAAGAGGCGGTCGTGTTGGGAGGTATAGTGTGTGTGTAGTATCTATTTAATTCTAGTTATTATTTTTATCTGGCTTTCCATAACTACTTTTTAACATTAACATGTCTTTGTTCTCATGTTTAATTTAACAATCAATATTATCAGTATACATATTTGGTTGAAAAATTCAATATTTTACATAAAATCTGTGACAACGTGAACACGACAAGATACACGCGTTCGATCTCCCTTAATCGGATGTGAACGGTGATAGGGTTTTCTGAGGTTACTTCCCTACCTCTAAACTTGCACATACTATAAAGTTAGGGTATGAACATTATGTAGGATATCATTAAAAGCAAGTTATTTGTTTTATGACATTCCACATTTTCATCAATAACACCTAAAATCTTAGTATTCAAATGTTCCTTTAATGTGTCAAGATAAATAATTTGATAAGTGTAAATTTTCTAATTATTTTAGTATTCATATTTTATTAAATGTTTCTAAATAAACGTCGATTCCATTATTATAAAGCATGTTTCAAGCATAATTTACGCCCAGCAATTGTGTGGTGAACAACAAAAACGTGTTATTTGACTATTTCCGAATTTGTTATTACTAAAGATATGACGCTAACGATCCATGCACGAGACACATATCACAAAAATACAATTTAAATCTAAATGTGTATATATAATGACGAGTTCCTGGCATGTAAATGATAATATCATAAATTAAGGCAGTATCATGTATTCTGATCTAAGTTGAAATCTAATATTTCAACCGTACTGTAGTAACACTGCAACGTAAAACGTTATATTTAAAATTTATATACAAAGTGTATACCGGTGTCATCAGGTTTTTCATTTAAATTTTCTGACAGCAGTTTTTGACAATTTTTAACCCCAGCTATAGACGTATTATCTGTCTCCTGTGATTTGTGGTTCTATTATAGTATCGGACAATGCACTGACACTTCGTAAACAATGGCATGGCACTTCATATTGGTACGAGTCTGAAATTATCGGCCTGCTATTGGATGTCATTGTACAAAAATCTGTACTCGGCAAGGTGACCTAGGTGAAAAATACCGCGCATTGTCAGCTTAATCATTTATAAGTTCAAAATCATCTCACGTTTCCGTTTTTAACATAGGCATCAAGCGTACATCAGCCTTTCTTTTAAAACTGCTACTATATCTTTAATATACCTATTGCCATAAACTTTAATTGATTCATAAAGACTTCTTAGGTTTTTTTATGTACGAACGGTGATAGTAGTAAACAAACTTAAGCTGGAAATGCCATGGACATTACAGAATCTGGCAAGAATTAAATAGTTTTGATCAACTTCATACATCTATCCCATTAGTGGTTTCGTTTTGTAAATGAAACAAATAGGTCACATATATGTCAAATAATCAAAGGTGACTTTGACAAAAGAAGAGGGGTTGACTTTATTTAGATAATTTCCGTGACCACTTCATGCTGAGGCAATATGTTATATGTTGTCATGTTGACCAAACTTATTTTATCCAGCCCTTATAGATTGTCTGATAATGTGTTTATGGGGCACATAGCGAATATTGTTTGCCGCCCCAAAAAACACGTTTCATATTTACACTCGTGACAAACAACAAACACCTGATATGTTACGTCTGAAATTGTTACAATATTCAAACAAGTCAGTTTTGGAATGCATCCGATGAAACCAAACAATTAAAAGTCAGAACGAACTTAGTATGCACGTGACAGTCACATAGTACTGGTAGATATCTGTAACATGGACCCACCTTATTGTGCTGTGAACATCTACAGCACTTCATGGTTTTTCTTGTCATATCTTTGTTTTTTTATTAATCAAAATGTATTTTAATTCTAAGGTTAGGACGGAAATGTTTTGATGCAAACGATATGGTCATCTTTCTACGAAATACTGATTTGACTTCCAAAGAGGAAAAATATCAATGACCAAATGAAATAAACTTGCACTTTTTGCAACTTTACACTGGTTCGTCATTTCTTATCTCTTTCATTAATAACAAAATCAATCAATATAATAATGGAAAAAAAACTATCAGAACGTGAATATAGTTGAAAAAATAATAATTCAAGATATTTAGATTTAAAATTGATCGAAAATGATTATTATTTATGAATTACTGTTTCAAATGTTTGACAAGTTCTAATAGTAACACAGAACTTATTTTTATGTCATTCGCGGTCAATTTATAGCGTGTAAACACAGGTAAGTCAATGATACCTCTTTCTGTGTGCATTCAAACATATTACTACAAGCTAAATGACATAATAGGGACCTACATTAGGAACAAGGATATGAATGTTACTATAAATTTAAAATTCAAATATCAGGTTACAAATTCATAGTTATGACACAGGATCTCTATTAGATTCGCTCGTTAAAACTATCCGACCTTCTGAGCTTGTATTAAATGAAAATGCGTATTAACACGACTACACAACACTATGTGACTGTCAACGTACACACTCAATGAAATAAATATTACAGATTTCATTTCACAAATATATAAATACTGCCTCCTTAGTCAAATATATATCTCTTCCATGTGAAAATATACAGCACAACTAAAAGTCTCTTACCCTCTATACACAAACTTTGTATGCAATTTGAATACCTTTGGTTTCGCCAAAGCCATAATAGATACACTGCTCGTTGACAATCAAGAACCATCATAGAAAAACAAACAGGATGTTTTACATTATCAAAATATGAATTTTGCGTCACTTTTTTTCCTTTGAGTGAGGTAATGCTGACGTTTGTCATATTAAATACTTAAACTTTAATTTTCTATATGTTTTGCAGTTTTTTTATTATGTCTTCGGCTGTGCCACAAAGGCAATACACTCAAACTGTGCAATGTAAAATGCGTTTTTGCTCACAGAGCTAAACAGCAACACATGAAAGAATATGAAAGAAAATTCCTCGCTTCAGCGGTATATATCTGTACTCAGAGAGACATTATCCATAAATCACAAGAATATCTTACAATCGAAACGAAGCCGGTAACGCTAGCTCTGTGTGTGCTCTATCCTTGTAGCCAAAAGCCCGCGCTTATGATTCTTTTCACAGCTGGCACAGAAGGAAGCGTATGCTATAACGATATTTGCATGTGAGCAAGATTTTCTCCAATGACGGATACAGAGATACACTAAAAACAGCTCACAAATTATCATCACAGTTAATATCACGGATGATCAGAAAGTGTTCCGGTACACTTTAGAATATCTTTGAATGCATACACATATTAACATGGCGCGAGGTCCTGATTGGAGATCATTAACCAAGGTAAACACAATGATAACCTTAGACTTAAAGAACAACGCACACAAAGTCTTACAGAAGTATACATTCAGCCACCATATAACAATAACAATAAAACAAGCACATTACAATGTACAGTGGTCTAATGCTCTCCGAAATTTCCAAATTGTGTATAACTGATTACGTGCCCTAATTTGAATACGAATCGAATGATATTCGAACCACTGACTATGAGTCAGAACAGTTTTGAGCAAACTCAGAGTTTAGAATTGAAAACATACGCCCAGAACATCTACTTGAACAACCAATTATCATCGAATAAACTTAACTTGTATATTAACACTGCAGATTAAATATGCATAGCCTGCAGAGAACTATGTACTCTTATTGAACCAAGAACAAAATCCATATCATTATTTCCTCTTAAGTTAACATAAGTAAGTATACATCAATTTTAATTAGTTAAATATTTTGAGTTTAATCTTATCTTACACTTGAATACGTTGATTCATTGATTACAATCTATCGAGTGACATTGATCTCTTATCATAGACAGCTATCACCAACCGCTTATCGACTGTAATCTCTAGCAGCATATAACATCCATTGGCTTGTATGAGGTGTATTACGACTGGGACCTTCGGCAACTTCACTGGTTGATTGATATCTTCTAAGGAAATAAACGGAATATTTGTGATCGACTTCGTGTTAATTGCACTTTAAATGCTAATAATTCTTCGCCTCTGAGGTCGTTAATGTCCCAACTGAATATGTCACCAGCGTGAACAAGGGTCTCCTAGCACGTGTCTCCAACACCACAACAACGAGGCAATAAGTAGGGTCACACATATTTGTGAAACTGACAGACTGTTACTTCCATTGAAAGTCTTCACCTGATAGACCTTATTAAAACATAGAACATCTGTGTAATATCGGATACTTTTACAATCATACATCTCACTTCCATCACATTCACAGTTTTGCAATTTCTGTGCCTTTGCTTGCTGATATAGAATGGTTAAACTGTTATTACAGCGTTCTGTACATTTATCACCAATAAATAACCTGCCACAGTGACTTTTGTAGAATTCTAGTGCAGTTAAACATGAACTGTCCGCCTCACAAATCCACTTGGCTAAAGTGCAACTGACCACTGAGGTGCCGTCGTTCACGCTATGAATGGCATCTAGGACAACATTGGTGCAAACTTCAATTCCTTGTTTTCGTTCTAGGCAATAAGGATCTCCACTGCAGTTGCAGTTTATGAAATCTAATCCGGCGTCGTCTTCAGATGATAGCAGTGATATAAGAGCCCTCTTACATGACGTGGTACATACGTCAGTTTCATGGAATAGATTGTCTTTGCATCCCGCAAAGAAATGCTGTAATGCCATTCCACATCCTATCCTCCTAGCACACCAAGCTTGGACGTCGTCACAGTATTCCGCAGACATCACAACATTACATAACCAGGATTGTGCAAAACACAGTGACAGGAACCAGGAGACACGACTAAACATCCTACGGACGAGTCGGACTTTCCAAGGACATAGTCAACAACGACACATATGCATATAGTCAACGAGTTGTTGTGAAAATATTTTAAACATCCAAGCCACAAAAAAGTTTTGCGAGGTGTTACCGTAATGAATAACGTGTATAGTCAGCTGTCCTTTAGTGGTATGCCAAGTCGTTTTTGTCCTTTTCACCTGAACAGTTTTATAAATCTGTTTTATAAAAGGTATTTTTCTCCCTTGAATGAGCAGTTTGAACGGAGCAGCAAGCCGAAATGTTCCTAATAGGCCGTTAACAACAGTGGGTCCCGACTATCGGGTTCTGTTACAGTGTTGACGATATGGAGAATGATATAGCTCACCTCGTTGTTGTGAAAGTTCACATTGCCACAAAGTCGTGATTGCTAACATATACACTCATCCATATCCAACGAGAGTTCATGGACTGAATCCCCGGTCAGATGTATCGTCTGCTACAACAACTCGTGGTTACAGTAGCATCTGTCGTAGTAGTAGTAGTAGACACTTGGAAACTAATTCATTTTCTGTATATCGACAGAATGTTAATTGATACACAAACTTTCCTGTCGAAAGTAAACCCAACGTTAATAAGTGTCCAGTTGTATAAACTGTATCGACAGTCACTTGCTACATACAACACAGCACTCTAAACTAACACCACTTATAACAACGCACTGATACCACTATACACCGAAATGCCCCATGAATACTCTTGTAAGACTATTTTTGTAATCACCTCGCCCTCTGGCGGATTTGACGCCTCGTGAGAGGGCGTGTGTTATCGAGATCTCCTGGCCATACAGCCAATACCATCGACTCTCAGTTGATGTAGAGAATGATTGGCATGTCGAAGGTATATGTAGCCCGCCGCTAAATGCCATTAATCATTTGCTGCCTTGTATATCGGAAGGCTGCCTCTGCAAATGTATACTGTAGTAATTCGCGATGGTACGGAGGAGCTAAAGTCTAGCTTTCTTAGTTTCACGTAAATGTTATTATTCTGACCGTAATGTTTTATACCATATAATCCAGTCTAGGAAACTATCTCTGTGTGTCATTTGTAATATACATATTCCTAGATTTTACAGTGAGTGTAATACATGGTTTAATGTAAATGTGACAAACGTGTGTATCTATTTTTTCACATCAAGCTTAACATGCAGCAAGTTTCTTTACCAGGTATATGTATATGTATATAATGATGGGACTAGGCTATCGAAATCCCAGCTCGCCACCTCACAACGCATTATCGAAACTTGATACCTCTTAACAGCAAAGCACAACAGTTCGTGTATGAAAACAGCTAGCTACTTACCAACAACCGTCGAATTCAGTTCGTAAACACATGATACTCACAGCCATGCGCCGTGTAGCGCTGCACATCATAAAGTCTGCGATCAATGTTATATGATATATCGTTCATGATTTAGACTTAAAAGGGAATCTCTTTGTTGATGAATACGACTGGATACATTGATAAGTGATAAGAACTTTCCTCACTGTTACAAATTTTCAGTGAATGGAATTTATACCAACATAGCCTGCATAGTGACAATGTACCTACATAAATTGACAGCTGCAAGCTTCACTGGTAGAGATGTTATCGTTGTTTGATCAGTGTGTACGATAGCTTTACTGTTAAATAACAAGAAATCTAATATCTATTAAAATAACACTTGTCTCTTACTGCAGTAAACGATACAGTCACGACCTATGTTGTTCGAACACCTTTTATCACAGGTGAAACCTGACATTAACTGTGCAAAACATCAATGGATTGGTATGTAGTTAATCCACCAACTAGTTACTAGTTTGTAAGAGGCGTTATCAATCTTTATTAACAACACCAGATACGGTGCATACAGTTAATTGGTAGTTTCACAGTTATGATGCATTACACAGATTTATGTCCATACGTTACTTATTGAAATAAATCTTACTTCGGTTCACGTTTTGCTCCATTTGCATCGACTTTGAATTTTATATTTTCTTTATTTCTTAATTTGATTATTTATTGATTTTGTTTTTGAATTTTTAAAATCTTTATTTTCTGCTTCTTTAGGTGCTGTCCAGTTGGACTGAGATCATTTTCAATCAAATTTCGAGTTTCAAATATCAGGTAAAGTTTTTCAAAGTGTTTGGTTTTTTTCAAAGATATCCTTACATGCCTGTCATTGCAACTAGCCATTTTGACTTTCTAAAGATTAGTTTAGATGACGAATAATCGTTGGAGGTCAGTCTCTCACAAAATGATTTACCCGGATACAGTCACGTGATATTATAGTTGTGAAGATATATTTACAAAGGCTTCATAAATTTGTCTTTTGTCTGCTGGTGTGCAGTCTATTTCTACGCCTTAGTACAGATGATAAAGATTAAGAGCTATTCAGCAAACTAACAACCATAATTGTTTGGCATGTTTGTAAACCCGAAAAGGATGGAATTCTTTTTTAAAGTCACATTTGAAAAACAACGACTTCAGAAATAAATAGAAACGATAATTCAAGTAGTTATAACATAAAAATAGAAATAAAAAGATTAACGATATATTTAATAGATATTTAAAAGATGGTGAAGACGTAATAAGTGTTAAGAAGACCAGATTACGCGTTCATCAACTAAACCATTCTTCCCTGAGAAATGTTCATCAATCATCGTAAATCAATTCGACAACAAAATGTGAAGATTGTATTTCAAATGTTTATGGAATAGTAGAGCACTTGAAAAAAACTTAAAAGCGAGCTGTGTGACAGTACATGGATAAATGTGAGAAATATGTAAAATTATGACAGTGTAAGTCACGGCATGTTTGATTTACTAGGTGTGTGGTTGACAAAAATAGTTATCAATATTCATATTCTAATCTTACAGGGGTAAACAAAAAGTTAGGATACAAGCAACTATCCTTCATGTAATTCGTCATATTGCAAAGATTATCATTAAACGACATGGTTCATGTGCACGTGTTCGTATTAACATTTTAGTAAGCATGAGCAAACGGCATCAGGAAGTGTCACTTTTAAAGTGAGATAATGTTGGATTATTTAAGCAAGGACAAAAATGAAAGAGATGGTCATATGATGAACGGTTAAATCATGGTAAACAAATTTATCTTGATATCAAATACACTACTCAAATCATACGAAAAACTTAAGTGAATTAATTGTAATATCAAATAGTTATAATCAAGTTAAAAAAAATGTGTTGTGAAATAAATTGTGTTTTGTTGTATGCTTTATCGTCCTCTCAATAGTTGACTTGCGACATCCTTCTGACTCATTATGCAAGATAAATTTGCAATGTAGGCTATTATCGGTGGATAGAACTGCAAGTCACTTAGAACAGGTGTCCTGCTTGAAAAACAACAGCGGTACTTATATGTATCTACATTAGAACCAAACAGCTGTTTTTAAGGCTAGAAAGCCACTGAGAAATTTCCAAAGGAACCGAAAGAAAATCGAATTAGATTGTGAGATGTACTAGCCTCATTAATCAATAAATTTCGCAGTTTTCATATATATGATACTTTTAGAAGAACGCGAACTACATGTGTGTGTTTTGAACCGTGTGATATTCGAATGTTTTAAAACATGGAAAGCAAGTTAAGGAATTTCTGATAATCTTTAATATCAATAAATTTCAGTTATGAAAACATATCGGTCATTAATCGACAATAAACGTTTCAGCCTAGGCTGTAATTATCTATGCGAGTTCCTTTGTTTTATCACGATTATGACATCATGAATAAGTTATACAAAACACGATGTTAATTTTCGATTGATATATATATATATAATAAAATTATCATTTACTTGTGGCATTAAGTTAGTTAGATATTTAATGTGAAAAATAGGAAGTGAATTTCTACTGGATCTAACTATCATGATGAATGGTGTAGCTACTGAAAACTGGTCAGAGGGATGCATTGTCTACTGTGAAAGAAGGTGTCTGGAACACATTTGGAGGATGAAGATAATTAGTTTATTTGAAGAGAATGAATCAAAGTGGATGGATTATTTACTTAAATTAAGAAAATTGGATGGTGTATAAACTGAAAGTGAAAATGACTGAATGACCTATAGGAAACAAGATGGACTAGAATACACACTGGCTGAAAATGACTGAATAACCTATAGGAAACAAGATGGACTAGAATACACACTGGCTGAAAATGACTGAATGAACTATAGGAAACAAGGTGGACTAGAATACACACTGGCTGAAAATGACTGAATGACCTATAGGAAACAAGATGGACTAGAATACACACTGGCTGAAAATGACTGAATAACCTATAGAGAACAAGGTGGACTAGAATACACACTGGCTGAAAATGACTGAATAACCTATAGGAAACAAGGTGGACTAGAATACACACTGGCTGGATTATCTATTGATCATAATGATGTCTGACCTATAAATAAGGTGACTGGTGAAATAGGATTAGAGTTTAATCTACTGAGAATTAAGGTACCTGGACTATCCAGTTAAAACAACATCTAATGACCGGTAGACGACTAGAATTTCTAATGGGAGTGAAGGTTACTGAATCAATTTCTGGACATGAAGCATACTTGATTTTCTCCTGTGAATGAAAAATAAAAACAACAAATCAAGGTGAAATGTAGTATTGAGTGAGGCTGTTTGCTTATATTTTATATGGTCAATGTAATTTACTTACATATATGTAAATGTGAATCCATTCGGTCACCCAGCACATTGATATTGACCAGCTAGGCATCTTAGACAACACTCGATAACATAAATGTTCTGTCCAGACGCTGAATAATCGAAAATCAAATGAGTGATTGCTAGACATATTATTCAGAGCAATCCCCATGGAGTAGAAAGCAGAGAAATTAACAATGGCTATCTAATAGCAGGTAGCGATAAAACTTATTGATTAATGTTTTACTAAGGTCGCAGCCCAGGTGTCAAGGGTGTCAGTTTAAGTATTATGAAGTAATTTAGATACAGGTATCTTGATTGAATTCCAGTAGTTGATTCGGATAAGGAGGTCCACATTACTTGATGCCAATGAATTAGTTTCACCGAACAGTTTTTTTTAATATCACCAATGTATCCGTCAATATTCGTACTTATTTACAAAAATAATGAAGGAATAACTATACAGACAATAAAGATGTTTACATTTGTATTTCTCAATGATATTCGATTTAAGATTCATAATTTGCTATCTGTGTTATAGGCAAAATCAGTATCATGTAAGATAACATATTTTCGTGTTTCTCAGATTTCATGGATATCGATTAAATCGATAAAATACATTTTCGTTGACGATCGCTTTCGTAGATCAACAGTGCAAAGTACATTCGTGCTATGATGATTTGTAACCGTAATGGTTCGTCATTTCGTGGACATATGAATTGGTTTATTAGTAGTACCCACGGCTTTAACAAAAATAAGTCTTAAGTCTTTGAACTTAGTAATGTAAATATAATTCCCTTGATAAGTGATACAATTTTATTTATGAAACAAAACTTTATATTATTATTTTTGACTTTGTCATTCGATATTCAAACATATTTTAGTTTTATAAAACATAACAAAACTTTATCGCAACATTAATACGAATAGATATGGTGGAAAATGCATGAATCACTTATTTTGTTAAGATTCAAACAAAACCTCGCTTATGCAGATGGTGTTAATGTTTAACTACACAACGAAGGTTTTAAGTAAATATTCAACACTTGAGTAGACATTTTAAGAGAGAATGTTTCCATT